GTCTGAATTTTGCCTGAAACTCTCAGACTGAAGAAGTCTCTTGGAGGAGAGACGAAACGTTTCATTAGAGAAGAACCCGTCCAGAAGACCTATACAATTATTTTGTTTTTGATTTTTTTACCTGGATTACTGAGATGCATCAGGACATTTTCAGTTGTAGTTACAGGTCTGGGTGTTTGTTTGTTTAAAAACACCCAGACCTGTAACTACGGCTGAAAAGTGCATACCCAGTTGTCAATGACATGTTTTTGCATTTAATTTTATTGCAGTAAAATAATAAGCTTATTTAAGATGTATTATCTACAGCAAAACAGTATTATCATACTGTCATCATCAACTCAAGTGATTATAGACAGCAATAAAATAACTACGAAAATACCCTCAAAAATTATACTTGTTTATGTACACATAGTTTTATTATTTTATTTTATTTTTGTAGTCTTAACATTACTTCACACGCAGACTCCTTTATGTTGAGTTCTGTCTCGTGTTGATTTTCAGTGTGGTTTTTGGTTCACACTTGTCACCAGTAGGTGGCGTTGGTGCACAGAATGTTGTTTCTGCTGTTTAAAACCAAAGAAGAAGAAGCAGTGGTGTTTGGAAGAATCACGTCTGTAAGTAAATCCATGCATCATGTAAACTGAGATCATCCTGTGTCTGAACTTCAGATTAGTGATTTTTTTTTCCTTTTCTGAACCTCACGGTCACGACGGTGGGAAAACAAGCTCAGAACTTATTCTTGAGCTATTTCTGCTGAAAGATTTGTTTTCTTTCACCGGATTTGGAGAAAGAAAACACAAGTATAGTTTTTCTCCCAGAGGCAAATGCAAAATGCAGGGAGTTCGTTTTACAGCTGTGGACATATATTATAGTCTTTGTTTACAGACTGGCTCCATACAGTCTGTACACCGGCTGATAATGTGTTTGCTCTTCACCAGTTTGTTGCCAGGTGGGAAAAAAGATGAAGTATCTTACTACCAGCAGCTTAAAATGATTGTATTTTGAGGGAAATGATCGTGCCCAGCCTATTTGCATTCTAGAGTGACTCAGAACAAACACTTCCTGTCACAGCTCACAAATGCACTGTATCATAAAAGCTGCATGTTCTTTTTTTATATAATAAATTTAAAAAGCATTGTATCTGACTTAGTATTTTTGCATTTTAGTTCACTCATGTGTTCAGTTTTATTTTTGTGCACATTTTTGATCTGTAAAATACGTGTTTTTTTAATATTCTGACATACTGGCGTTTGCAAAGTCATTTTCATGAATGAAATGTAAATAAACAAATGTACTCAGCTTGAAATGACATTCTGGCCATTTTGAGGTGGAGTTCTATGCAAAGATTTATGAACAAATAATATCTTACCTGCTATGGATACCTGAATGATTTCTGTTTAGAGGAATATTTCTAAGTCGGACAAAACTGGAGCGCTAACTGAATATTTGGTCAGTCCAACAGATGCTGACTGGCCTTGATGCCCACACCTGCTTTAGATGATTGTGATGACAGACGACAGTGAGACAGTCAAACAGTATTATCACACATGGTAAGTTTTTCTCATACCTTAAACTGCTGCCATCTCCAAAATCTCAAATCACGTATTATACACATTGCATAGTGATTCTCGCAAATACTTTATTTTACCTTTTTTTTTATTTAACCTTTTTATTTTATTTTATATTAAATGGTTTTGGTGAAAATGTTATGAAATTCCTTTTGGATTTGTAGTTACATCTACCTGCTGTCTGTGTTTGTAATAACCATGGGTATCTGTGTAAATAAATCGCTTAACTAGATCTGTAACAAGTGAACAACTGACACTTAGAAACTGTTACAGCCGGAGATCATTTTTCTATGTTTWTACTAAAGCATGGAATGACATCCCTCAACATATAAAGTCCAGCTCAACACTGAAGACTCTTGGTTCTCATCTGCTGGACACCTTTTTTTGTAATCATATTTAGGTGTCTACTGTTGAAATGCTGCCTTTTGTTTGTTTGTAATTTGCAGTGTTGTATAAAGTACCACAAAGTGATACTTGAGTACAAGTATCTTACCAAAAAATTACTTCGGTAAAAGTTTAAGTCTCCTTTAGGAATATTACTTGAGTAAAAGTCTTAAAGTACCTGATATTTTTTGTACTCAAGTATTAAAAGTAAAAGTATTGATTTAAAATGAGCAGTTAGATTTTCTGTAAGGACATTTATTAGGAGGTGACCTCCACAAAAATACAGAAATGACTTTTGTATTAAAATAGTTAATTTATGCTAAATTTAGGATGCACTAGTCAAAATGTTTCAGTTTACATACAAATATCAAAGCAGCACAAACCTTTTCTCTAAAATGAAAATGTATCTGAGGGCTGCAGCCAAATGTAATAATATAAATCATGAAATACAAATACTTCTTAAGTACAGTCCTTTTATTTTAATGATTATGTCCTGCTGGAGTGTGACATGATTTGTTTGYGTACAAACTAATACAGTRTCAGAGTTTTATATATTTATACTTCTCATTCAAYCATAATTAAATTCACTCTATCTGGGAGGCACAATTTATATGGATAGTATTTATTTTTTACAATAAGAAGCTGGAATGAAAACAAGCAAAAATAAAAAGTAACAACTTTCTACTTCTTGCCTTTTTAAAAAATGTAAGGAGTAGAAAGTACAGATCATTGTGTGAAAATGTAAGAAGTAGAAGTAAAAAGTACGCTGAAAAATAATTACTCAAGTAAAGTACAGATAACCAAAAAATTCTACTTAAGTACAGTAACAAAGTATTTGTACTTAGTTACTTTACAACTCTGGTAATTTGGTATGTCTGTATGTTTCTGTGTCTATAGTGTATAATAATGTGATGTGATGTTGGATGTCCGTGTGTTTTTTTAATGTTCTGCAGAACAGGAACCTAAAACATTAATTATGCTGAGTCAGGCCTGATTTCTTTTAATCTTTTCCTGTTTTTAAAATCAATCAATCAGTTGTGTAATCTAAAATAGACATTACTGCAATAGTGTATGATGTTTGCACAAACTGCTACAAACTCTTTAGAGTATGAGCTGTTTTATATTCTAATGATCTAAATACCCACTTTGACAGAAACACTACAGTTTTAACAGTCACTGACTATCATTTGGATAATGGTTCTTCTCAACTCAGGAGGGTTTAATGACTGCAGGGACCTTGGTTTTTGTTTTATTTACATGAAAATAGGAGAAAACAAAAATGGAAATAAAACTTTTTTTATTATTTTTTTTATAAAGCAAGCATCTCTTTTTAATTTATTTATTTATAATTAAAAAGATTATTTTACTACAAACAAATAAAGCAATGTAGCCACTCAAAGACAGGACATCTGGACGTTGCTTGAGAAAAAACAATTCTATATATGCACTTTGCTAAATTTTAATTCGATACCACTGCTGTAGACAAAGGTTTCAGCTCATACAAACTCAAAATAACAACTCAAGGATGTTTTCTGCAGAAATACAGAACGCTGAGTTGCAGAATGACTTTGCAGAAGTTTGCTGAAGAAGGAAAAAAAAATGGACTTATTAAAAAAACCAGAAGCTAAAATGATCAAAACAGAAGCAAAGGGGAAGCTAAAAGATAAAGCAAGAAGAAGAATGACTGAAAGGAGCAAAGCGTTTGTTAAAAGTTAATTGTGGCAAACTGGTATAGCTAAAAGTTAAAAGTAGCATAAAAATAGAGAAAGTATGCTGAAGACATTTCAAACGGAGCAATGTTCTTGGAGGAACAAAAATAAAGATCTTGATGTAATTCTCTGCAGAATTTATGTTTAATTTAGATTATTGTTTTTTTTTTTTTTTGTTTTTTATAAAAGTTACAGAAGTCATACCACACTGTTCCTAATAGATCTGGACATTTTGACAAAAATGGTTAAAATACCACAAACTGTGTGGAAGTAGTTTGGTTGCAAAAACTAATCTGAAGGGACTACAGACAGGAAAACAGTGTGAATGCTCAATAACTGTTTGCACTGTTAAGATGTGAGGAAAATAAGCCACCACAAGTGTAGTGTCTGTTCTCTTATTTTCACACAGTCTTTGAAAGAGTATCTGTAGTGAGTCTGTATGTTGTTTGTTGGTTTGTTTACACATAAACTTTGTACCGTCACCACCCCTAACATTTTTGTTTTTGTGTTTTAAATGCAGAGTACCATGGGTCAGCGCAGAGGCAGTATTCACTCCCTTGGTGTTCCTGTAGTAATGGTGTGCATTGCTGCTTTGCTCCTCAGCACTGTATGGATTTACCTCAGTCTGCAAAGTATATCTGAGACGGATGAGCAGATGGTGTACACACACGTGGGTTGTCCTCCTCAACACTTCAAAATGGCAACCATGAAAAACAGTTCTCCGTGGCTCCAGTGTTCACAGATAAATGCAGAGCTACGAAAGCTAAAGCTAATCGGCCAGGGAGCTGTTAAGAAGGTAGGTTGAATGGTGCTTAAGGTTATTGACTCTGGATGTTTAAGATATGTAACGTGTTAAAAATGCATACATTAATTAAAGTCTTAGCATCACTGAGAAGAAATTGCATATCTCCCATTGCTTTTCATGCCTGAGTCTTTAAGTAATTTATTATGTTGAGAAAAGACGTTGAACGACAAAGATGTTGTAGCTGTTGTGGCCAAATATCATAGGAACATTATAAACAATGTGTAATTTTGAGACCATGCTCAGCTGCTACTCCACCAAAATTCAGTTCAATAGCTGTAAAATTGACTGAGTCACAGACATTGTTATGTTGGCTAAAGATGTTGCACAATGTGTAGTCATGTTGTAACTATTTGTGTGTTTAACTAAGGGTGTATTCACACCTGACACATTTGATCTGCTTTAAACAGACCAGAGTTTGCTTCTCCCTGTTGGTCCAGACCTTTTATCTGCTTCCAAATGAACTCTGGTGCGGTTCACTTTTAGTGTGAACACAGACCGGCCTTGACCCGAACCAACTACAGCAAACATGCTTTTTTGGACTTCATGAGCCACTGTTGTTAGTCAACATGGTAAAAATTAGCCCATCATTGTGGCTAACGCTACTGCTGCATGGAGGCTACAAACATTGACAAGTGGACAGACCTGGAGCTATAAACCAGGGGTTCTTAACCTTTTTGACATCGGGGCCCAATTTGTTGAACATAAAGTGACACGAGGCCCAGTCAGACATAAACAGTGTACGGATCAAAATGATAATTATTCTAAATCTTGTTTTAATTGTGTGAATGCCGTTAAGGCATTCACACTATTGTTTTCGTGTTTCTCTTTATTGGGTGAATGCATGTTAAGGCCTTTTTTATGCTATTTCTGCTATATTTTTGCTCCTTTTACTGTTTTTCTGCATTTTCGTGCTTCTGTCAGCTTTTCAAATTTAACTTACTATAATACTTTTGCTATTATATTAAACATTTTCAGCTCAATTTGAGCTTCTTCAGCAGCTTTCAGCTTATGTTTTCAGCAACTGGCATTCACACTTGTATTTTCGCAGGAAATGCAATTTCTCTAGTTTTTATTGTATTTGCATTATAACTAGACTATTATAACTAACATAACTTAATTAAATACACTTACAGTTTAAAAGTAAAACTCCTGTCAAATAATCACAAGACATGATTAT